TATATATATATATATATATATATATATATATATATATATATATATATATATATATATATATATATATATATATATATATATATAATTTGTTTCGAAAAGTTACGGGTGCACGTGCATCCTCACGGATCAATGTAGGTCCGCTTGTCTCGACGAATTTTCATATCTTGGAGCATTTATATAATAGACTCATTAGAAATAGTATGAAATACTTTCTTTTCTACATAAGACACTATACAACCATTCGATTCGCAAATCGTTTTTAATATACTTAATTGTCGAGAAAGCTCTTTCAACGGTTGCAGTAGCAAAGCAAATTTCACTAAGCGAAATATAAGTGGATAAGTTAAGTTTTTCTTTGTGTCTACCAATTTTCTTGAAAGTTCACCAAGTCCACCTACATCAGAGAATCTTTTATCAGTATCACGTACACCAATAATGTAATTGGCAAGTTGAATCCGAAGGACGCCCATACTAAATTGATCAAATTCATTAGGATATAATTCAGTCATTCTCACTATTTTTTTGATGTCAAAACTAGAAAATGAATTAACTAGATTCAAGCAAGCTACTCCATAAAACAAATCACTTGTCACCTCATTGAAACGATCATTAAGTTCTTGAAGTTGCCAATCAATAATCTTATAAAATACTTCCACACAAAAATGAGTTAAAACAGTATGATCAATAATTTTACGTCTTGATCTTCCAGAGTTAGCATATATAGGGCTCACCAAAAGTGGGTATTAAGATGTCATGTTTGATACAAATCATAGATATTTTATTGATCTTATTCCACAAGGAAAATGTATTCACAAGAAAAAATTATTAAATTTAAAGAAATCTTATTCCACAAGGAAAAGGTATTAAAATGTAAGGATATATATTTCAATTTTAATTGAGAAAAATACTTAGTGAAAAAGGATTTGAACTTGTAACATCATGAGACTATTAACCACTCAACATTTATGTTAATATTACACATGTTAATTTACTTAATTGAATTCAAGAAGTCAAAATAATTACAGAAAAATAAAACACATCTAATTACAGAAAAATAAAGCACTTCTGTGCACTTGCCAACTCTACTGTGCATTACTTTGTTATTTTGGGGGCAAAACTTTATATGTATATATAGTACAATTTTTTTGACGAAAAAGCCTACGTGCCTCCGTTCCTGCCTTTGACTTATTTTTCTCATGAGTGAGAAGAAGAAGATAGTGATTACGTAGTTAAAGCAAACAAACCTGTTTATTCAAAGAAAGTTTGTGATATGGAATTGAAGTATACTGAAGATGAGTATGAAAATATGATAGAGCATCCTATTGAGTTCTCTTTTTCAATTGTTCTATTGATGAATTAGGTTTATTTGATGCATGGTACTAAATTGAGTTCTCTTTTTCAGTTGTTCTATTGATGAATTAGGTTTATTTGATGCATGGTACTAACTTTGCCTTGTAATTTGAAGGTACCATTTGAATTTCTTCATAACTTTATTTGGGTCGACGCATATGCTAGTTAATTTGAAGATTCCATATGAATTTCTTCTGACCTTTATTTGGATCGACGCAGAATATGCTAGTTAGTTTGATTATTGTGGCCTAGCTCATTTTATATACTCAACTGATACTAAACTCAACTCTATGAGCGATGAATTTCAAATGACAAAAAATGGACGTTTCTTTGATTGTAGATTTAGTTTGAACTGTAAAGATAAACATTTAGCTATTTTTTTTTTATGTTCTCTAATGAAATATATGCATGTTGCCAAATGTTCTATTATGTATTGTAATATACCAAATTATTTGGAACAGATGCTACAACTTTGTGTTTATTTTCTTGTTTTTATTAAAAGAAAGGCTAATGTCTATAAACGATATTGAAAGAATTTTTTTTAAATGTAATTTGTAGTCAAGTAATTATTAATCATAGTTAAGTGATGTATATTGTCCCTTTAATTTTAGCAACATTTTACCATCATTATTTTGTATTAAGGGATGACCTGATAGAATAACATTTCTCATTAACATCATAAAAGCAGGGCTTACAACAAAGCTAAATGTAATTTCATAAGTTAGATCTCAACTTTGCATACATAATCCTCCCGAGACCCTCATAAGATCTCAACTTTGCATACATAATCCTCCCGAGACCCTCGTAAGATCTCAACTTTGCACACATAATCCTCCCGAGACCCTCGTAGGATTACATTGAGTATGTCATCATCGTAGAAAGAAAAGTACTCGTAACTATGACAAATGTGGAAGGAGGAAATCTGAAGGATCATAAAGCTTGCAAATTTACTTGTATATAAAGGGAAAAAGTAATAATGAAAATTGTTCCAAAAAGAGGCAAAGACCATCTGTTATTCTATATCAACCAAGAAATGATACACCAGCAAAAGTTTTAAAAGAAAGATCAAAGTTTTACACAACTCCCTTCTTCACCAGGCCAAACCGTCTAGTGGTATCGGCGGGAAGTTTGACACAAGTTTCAATATAATTTCTCATAGTACTCCTTCCCCCTTAACCCGATCGTCTAATGTCATAGAATTTTAAAAATGGGAAACAGAATGTTGATTCTCATATGATGCAAGAGGTCTGACTAGCAGCAAAATGTGATATACTGTTGTTCTTTGAACAAAAATTATATGATCAGGTGTAGAAGAATTTCACATGGGTCGTCCTCCATTAGCGAGCATCTGACCAATAATGTTTGTCACCTGAAAAGAAAGTAAAAAAATGACTCGAACCGTTGATATCTATATTTTCAGCATAAAATTACCATGAGACATCTGAAACATAGTTGGAAGAACTAAACCAGTATGACAGTTCAAAGAAAGAAACTTATAACAAGGTATACTGCAGTTGCATTCTAACTCACGAGCCCCGAAAGCATGTGTGCAGACGTGGCAAATGGAAGGGTTGAGACATGAGGTCAAATTGGGCAAGTTGAAAACAGGTTTGAGAGAATAATACTATTGAGTATGAAGTATATATACATATAATCTTCACAACTCAAGCGAAAGAAAACCAAAAATGCATAGTAGCTACACTAACAAATCGTTTAACAATTATTCCACGCCCAATTACACAACAATATTCAAGCAGCAACAAGTAGAGGTGTCTACCAGGCGTTTCTGTCTATATTAAACGGAGTACTGATACTGAATATTAGCCATGTAGCAAGCTAATAAATAGTCACATGGCAATTTTCGGATAATATTAATAGGCAATATAATAAGGCTTAATGTCATGCTATTATCGGTTACAATTCATTGATGATGTAAGAAAATTACATTGTTCATTCATGTAACTAACTTAGAACCTTCTATGAAGAGTGAGTCATTTTGAGATGTTAAGAATTCTTCATTTAAATAAAGCAAATTTGAGGAAAATTTTAAGAACCTCGAAAATTCTATAGTAAAAAGAAACTTTTGTGATGATTGACAAAGGATAAATAAGAAACCCGTACGGAAAGGGATGGAGGAACTAATGGATAATTTGAAGGAATAAAGAGAAGAGATTGGGGGGGGGGGGGATGCCAACTTTAAAGTATTTTGGTTTATTTTAGTGTTTGATAACAACCACCAAAAGTGTTTTCAAGCCAAATGACACAAGTTGGATGGTCCCAATTTAAAGTAAAGCTCTCTGAGTTCTGATCAAATAGTCTATATTCATTTATAATCCCCAAAATACTATTCACAACACCAATACCCTGATTCCCCTCCTTTTTCCCTGCAATAATTTTTTATAAAAATTGTTACTTGCTTCTATGATTCTCTGCGCTGAACTTCCCATTTTCACCTTATATTGTAACAACTATATTTTCTTTGGAATCTACATTTTTTAGGGGTTACTTTGGACTGCCCAAATCAGCCCATTAACAAAATCCAATTTCCCCTTGGCGGGTAGACTTTTGGGTCAATTGTGAAACCCAAAAAGACTTCAAAACGCATGAAAAACCATCCTCAAACCCTCCCCCCCCCCCTTTCAGCACAAGCATCATCATCAGTCATCACGATTCAGGAGAGGCAAAATTGACCCAATAATATATAACCCACCCAACCTGTGTACTACTTTGGGCCTATCAAAGACATTATCCAAAATTTACTTGTGAAATGTCCAACACTAACCTGTGTGAACTCCCCAACTTCACTTGTGAGCTAGCCATTAGTAGGTAATAGTCCCCCACACACATGCTTAATCCGATAGTGTCTATTCCTAATCTACACACTACTCTCCCAAGACCTCTTGTGGAATTACACTGGCATGATGTTGTTGTATACCTGTATCTGCTTTATCAAAGCTCAGTTGCCTATTCAAATAGTTCCAAAAGTTGAATTATAATATTTTTTTTCTACTTTTTGTTTTCTATTATTTTCTAGTGCTTTACACATGGAAAAAATGCTTTCAGTTGTCTTGCTTGGAGGATCAGTGTGTCCCACATATTATTCATGAAAGTGACTTTATCAAAGCTTGTCTTTTGATACTATCAAACCCATCCTAAATATTAAGTGCTGGTAGTACAAATAAATGCTAATTTAGTATTTTTGTACATTTCTACAATTTGAAGAAAAAATATGAAGCCATAATAGTTGCTAGTGAAACCAGTATTTCATAATATTTCTTCAGTTATGAACTAAAGATTAAGAGCCTGTTTGGATTGGTTTTTGGCTTATTATTATCATTTTAGCTTTACATTAAGTGATTATACGCACTTTAGAGTTTATCCAAACACTTAGAGGAAGTGCTTACGAGCTCATTTGGTTTGACTTATTTTAAGTGTTGTTAAGCTAAAATAGCTTTAAACACTTTCGGATACCTTAAAAAGTGCTTATAAGCACTTATTTAAGCTAAAATGGTAAAAATAAGTCAAAAGACATAGGTCAAAATATCCAAACAGGCTCTAAAAGCTACTTTGGCTTAAAAACACTTAAAATAAGTCAATCCAAACATACTCTAATCTATGCTGAGGCATGTAGGCCCTTGGAAATGTTGATTGAACTTTTTGTGATTCATAAAAGACTCTACAATAGACAAAATTCTCATTTACTATTTTCTTCAAATAATTATCATATAATAATTATTTCAATATATGGAACTTAGAAATTAATTAAAGTTATAACTCTTAAATCTTTATTTATTTGTAGGATGTAAAAACTCATAATATTTAGGACTTATAATATAACTTCAATTAATTCCAAAGTCTTAAACATTAGATAATAGTAAATGACAATTACTCGAGAAAATAGTAAATAATAATTTTGTCTATTGTGAAGTCTTTTAATAAAGGACAAAAAGTTCTATCAACGTTCTAAGGCCTTAATACTTTCCTATAGTATAGATTATGGATATGGTCGGCGTGTAGTGAATCCGCACTTATTAGTATATACAGTGACAACATAATATTTGTTGTTCCATTCAATTTTTATTTTCTTAATTGATAGTGTGATCAAGTTGTATCTGTTGGGTTATCACTCATTGTTAAGACCTAAATTAACTTGGGCATGTTGGTCATGAAATACTTATTGATTTAGCCCTTTTGACTGCCTTAGTTGACCTAACCACCCATTTCTCACTCCAAAGTTCTAATTACCTAGGTCCTAACACTACTACGCCATTCATTTGCCTACTTAGATTAAACTATTCAATTGCCTTCTTTTTAAATTTCTTCTGCCAACTATGACCTAAAAACAAAAGAAAAGGGGATTTTTTTGTCCACAAACTACGGTCCAAATATTTTTACCATCATTACTCTCCAGGTAATAATCAACTTTTATGGACTAAACTGAATTTACTAAATATCTATCTTACACTAGCATGAGTATTACAAGCCCCCTTACTTCATAAAATAGATTTTCTCATAAATCTGTTGAATATAACTAAAATACTCTTTGCAACTTTATATTATTATTATAAACTGATATGAGCTTAGATGAAGAAATGAGGATCCATATAGCCAACCCAAACCTTTGGTGACCACATCTAGTGACCTTAACGACTCTATCCTAGCTCCCAAGCTAAAATATCATTCAGTAAGAATATTTTATTTGAGTCAAAAACTTAATACTCATTTGCTTTAGTCCACAATGACCAAACAGCCCTAGAAAACAACATAGTACTTGTTTGCTTTAGTCCAGAATGACCTAACAGCCCGGAAAAAGGAACTTAAGTATATGAACTGTTATCTAAACCAAAAAATTGATAGAGATCCTGCAGAAGTGCATGACACAAAAAATTTAAGGAAGAGGAAGATCATAGTTTCTGGCTGTGCTTTTTAGCGTAAGGGCAACTGTAATTTCAAAATTACTGACTTAAAATTCATTTAACTGCAAACAGAACACTTATCCTCCCACCAAAAGGAAACAAAATATTATTGAAATGAAATTACGAATGATTTACCTGCTGATATTTCGAGACACAACGATCAATGCAGGTGTTTTCACCCATGTATAGCTCACCCTCCTTGTACTTTTTCTCGACACACTTGTTGAAGCACGTATGGGTGAGTCTAGATCACAACAAGAAACAAATTCAGAAATCTTGTACAAATGTCTTCAATGTAAGGAACTAAGCAACAATACTGGGGCTGAATTAGAATGAAAACTGAATTGTATGGATAATTACCAAGTCTTAAAATATTATTTACGAGCTCCAAGAAGATTTCTTTGGTGCTGTTAGGTTACTACTAAAGAGACTTGTGACTGAAACAGTCATGATTTGGAACACCTTACTTGTTAAAAAATTCAACCCTGTACTCCATCTCCTTCTCAGCCATGCCAAAAATCTGCATACATAAGGAAAAATATTAGCTTGAAAAGTCCCGCATTCAACTTAGAAGGTGGAACTATTAACAAATGTGTGATAACCACACACAAAGAATTACTCCTTACAGATAAACATAGACAAAATAATAAACACATCACAAAAGTAAAGAACCTGCTCTGCGTCCACTTCTCTTGGTAAATTATTAGCAGCCATCATTACAGAGCTGTAAGACAACAACAACAACACTTGGATCAAAAAGTGATGGCTACACATCTGATCTCAATCGAAGAAACGGGCAACTATGCTAAATTTTTATTTTTTTATAACCAAGAAAACCCGAGAACCCGTGATACACATTCCCAAACTCAGTGGATAATGATCCCCCCTCAATCCTTCTCCACTTAAATACTACGCTTGCCTGCAGCACGATTCGAACCCATGACATGTGCCTAACCCACAAATCACAAACTACGGTCTTACCACTAGATCAAAGCCCTTAGCACAAATATGATAAAATAACTTTATTCTAACAAATCCAACAAATATGAAGATGATATTCAATCACAATATCCCTTATGTACCAATTGCTACTGCACCCACTGCCTTCATCTCAATTAATGTTCTAATCAAGAAAATCCAAACTAGAATACAGTTAACTACTCCAAATGGTATTCAAGCAATCTATACATATACACAAAAGTTTAGTTTTTTAAACTAAATACTATACCAAATAACTTTTCAATTAAACCCTCTTCACAAAAATTAAATATTATAGATATGAAAATTCTAAATTTGCAAAATTAAGCAAAAAAGTTATGAAACTTACCGATAAAAAATGATCTTGTGCTTTTTTTCGTATTTGAGAGAGGGGGAGATGAAAGGATGTTCGGTTTATTAGGGTTTAACTAGGGTTTTTCTTCCAAGTGAAGAGGAGAGTTTTGGAGGGTCCATATAGACCCGACCCGAATGATATAGTTCTTGACCCGTTTACGTTTTTTTTGCATTTTGCTGAGAAAAAAATAATGAAACACTGGGTATGTTTATTTTAGAGAAAAAATGTTTTTTATTAAAAATGAGTAATTTTTTTATATTTATTTTATTGTGTTCATTGCAAATAAAATATTCTATTTTAAAATTATTTGTATATAATTTAGATAAATATTGTAATATAAATTATATTAATACAAAAAAAAATGCTTAAAGTGATAGTAGTGACCATAGCAATTTAATAACTTATTTGAGCTTAATAGTTATCAAAATCAGCATTTATTTAGAATGTAAGTAAAATTATTCAATTAATAATGACAACTCTGATTAAATTTAAAAAAAAAACACTACCAAATGAAGTAAAATGCATAACTAAAATTATTAGCTTGTTACACCAATTTTTAGAAAGCCAAAAATATTTTTTTCTTTTTTTAAAAATAATAAATATTTAGTTTAAAGAGTTGAGATGTTTGTTCAGTAGTTTGTTTAATCGTATGTGGTTAATTTATTCTAGCTTTTTACCTAATAGAAAAGAATCATTTGGCTATGTTCGACCTTTCTTGTCCTATCTCTCTTCTTTCTTTTCCGATATTTAAATGTTTATCAGATTTATAATGCGCTTATTATTATGTTATTAAAAATCTTGTTAAAAATTCGATTGAAATAAAAGTTTGTCAATGAAAGAGTGCGCATCCTTCGGGATTTCAGTGCTCGTCATTTTTTTTTCCAATTCTTTATGATTTTACGTTGAAAATCCTTCTTAAAGTGATCTTTATATATTGCCTTAATTTATAGAACATACTTTCTCTTTCAATAAAAAATTATAAAATTTAAAATTGTAATTTCGCTTCTATAATTATAAGTATATAAATGCATTATTTTTCTAAAGAAAAAACTAACGAGAAAAATGTTGCATAAATCGAAATAATTATTCTCCGTAAGAACTGACTATTTTATCTTAATCGATTTTAAAAGGTGTGACATATTTTTATATTTAGTACCAATTTCATTTCAAAATTCTCATTTTATTGATCCATCTTTATAGCACTTCATTGCTAAAGCTCAAATGGGCCAAATCAATCAAAATCCATTATAAGCTTTCACCCCTTTTCAATTCAAATCAAATAAAAGATTTTATTTTTATAAAAAAGGTTATTTTAAAAAATTTAGATTTTAAAATTTATGAGTTATATATATTAAAATATTTATGGATTTGAATTTAGTGTACTTGTCATTCATATAGCTCAATTTGAGAAGACACTGCCCAGGAAAATTGTTCAATAATCTTTCTTTATGTAATATCACATATTTTTAATCAATCTTCAAAAAGGTGTGACAATTATTTCATCCAAACATGTACTTAAGTTTGAGAAGACACTTTTGGCAATTCTTTTTCACTACTAAGAAGATGAAAATGGGGTCCTCTCCCCCTTGTCACTGTGTCCTTTGTGCTCCACAAGAAGAAGAAAAAAGGAAAACTCTACTCCATTGTCATTGCAAGTCACAATTACTTCTCTACTTTTAGAAAAAGCAAAAGAGAACAAGAAATTACTCCAACATACTCACCATTTCAGCCATGCTTCTCATCATCAACTCCTTTAAAATCCTTCAATTTTTTCCTCAGCCTCTGATCTGATAATCATCAGCTTCTCTTTTTTCCTTAATTTATGAGCTAAGAAGCAGTTACTTCAAGCCATTTCCTTTGAAAGTTCAATCTTTCAAGGTCAAAAGAGTTTCTTGAAATGCTTCAAAAATTGCATCTTTTTCTCATTTTGTGCTCAAAGGCAATTTCTTTTTGATAAAAAAGTGTCAAACTTTTTAATGCAGAACCTCAAGAATGCTACCAGTTGTCCTTGTTTTCTCAATCTGTGAGCTGAAAGACAGTTTTTTGGGTAATGGGTACTTAAAAGTTTCAACTTTTAACACTTCTCATCTTGAATTCTGTTGATTTTCGTTAAATTCTTCAATCTTCCCTCTCAATCTGTGAACTGAAAGACAGTTTTTTGGTTGAAAAATGCCTAATCTTGGAGTTAATAAAGCTGACACAGAGGCAAATGGTGGTTCCAGCCGTCATTCATCGCCGCCGCGGAGGGCGAGCAGTGAGACAACCACAACTGATGGGAGTTTCCACTTAACTGATTCTGATTCTGACCAATCTTGGCACTCACCTTTAGGCTCTGTGGATGATATTTCAGTATATTGTGATCAACAGCCACTGAGGAGGGATACTTCTTTGTCAGATGATGAGATTGATTTGGAGAGTGGTGAATTGGAGATGAAGTTGCATAGTAAAGAAGAGAAGGATTGTAGGATTTGTCATTTGAGTTTGTTGAGAAGTGGTGGAATTAGTAGTGGTGAAGATCAAGTGCAAGAGGATTCAGGTGGGATGGCTATTGAATTGGGATGTTCTTGCAAAGGTGACTTAGGTGCTGCTCACAAACAATGTGCTGAGACTTGGTTCAAAACCAAGGGAAACACGTGAGTACGATCCACCTATTTCATCAATTATAATCGTGGTGTCTGAATCAACTTGCTGTATTTATGTGTTACTTGAGTTGAGCGTCTATAGAAACAATCTATGTGCCCCCCCAAGACCCATGGGATTACATTGTGTTTGTTGTTGTTGGTGTCTGGATTAACTTGTGTGCACATAGCTGATTTTAATTCACGAGGTACCTGCTATTTCCATCCAGCACAAGTGACTCTATTGTTGGAAGAATAGAGTTTTTGCCACCGTTGTGACTGAACTTGAGCTCTCAGCGTTCTCAGGTCACTTCATTGATGTTGTGTTTGTTAAGTAGTTATTTCGATTTGCTGGAGATTTGTGTGCAAAGGCGGTAGATACTTACCCTCATGCATCTGGTGCTTACAATAAACCATGTAAATTTACTATGGTTATTGGTTAAGTGAATTAATAAGGTGAGAATGTATGTTAATCTCCAATGACATTATAATTTATGAGCCTGAAGTCGGAAAATAACACCGTATATACAAGTAAAACGATACATGAATTGATTAAATAACATATTTTGGACATCCATAACATAATAGGGTATTGTAGTACAATGATTTCAGGTGCCTTGAAAGGGACAAGTCTTAAAGTGCTTGTGTGTTGAATCTCACTAGCAGCAACTTTTAAAACTTTTTTTCACACTATAAAAAGAAAAAAAAATGTACTTATGCAATCCCTAAACACCCTTCGTAAAATTTCTAGCTCTCCGGTAACTATTGCATTAGATCCTTCCAAATGCAAAGTTGTACTGATATATTTGCTAAAGCAGTGAAAAGACTTCTTTCCCTACCCTTTGACCTTAGTGTGTGTACATTAATTCCTCAATATGTGCCTTCAGTTATGCTAATTCACTGTATTCTATGATTCAGAATTTGTGAAATCTGTGGTACCAATGCACTGAACATTGCTGGAGAGCAGACAAATGAAGCCAATAATGCTTCAGTAGCCCCTCTTGCAGCGTCCGCAGCACCTATAGCCTTTTCTGAAAGCCAAGGCTGTTGGCATGGGCGCCGTGTCATGAATTTTCTACTTGCATCTATGGTTTTTGCCTTTGTCATCTCATGGCTTTTTCACTTCAATATATTGCCCTAGATGCTTCTGAAGATCGTCCTGGCAACGTGGTTTGTATTGTGAGGATTCAACGTAACTTAATTAGCTTTTACACCGGTTGTCAATCTACTGCAACTCTCCTTCTGAATCCAGGCTTAGGACTTGCAGAAATGTTTTCGTAACTCACAACATTAACAACTCCAATCCCCAGAAATTTCTACTATCGAGCTACATCTAGGCAGATAACAGGTTTATGAAAGGTGATCTGGTATCTGGTATAGGCCACGCTGTGAACATGTCAACGACATATAGTGTTTCAGCCATCAACTTCTCGGTCTTGTTTGCGATGATGATTGTTGACTAGAATAGAAGATAGTTTTGTTCATCAAACAGCTTGCTGAATTTTAAAGTTCTTCCTATTTAGTGTACATATGTAAGTATGTATATAGACGTATATCGATGAAGCAGTAGCATTCTGTTGTATATCATCCTTGAGAACTCTGTACAAATCTCTCATGGCTGTTGCAATTGTGTTAGCATCTAAATGTTTTCTTTGATAACAGTTTGTTCGGGCCATCTAAGGCTCATCTCGACTACTCCATTCAATGTTACTTCCCATCAACATAGTTATCGAGCAATTATGCTACTATCAATGGCTGTTGCAATCAACTGAAATTTTCAATATGACACTACTTCCTATATATTTAGCTTATATCCCTTTGTATGTTTTTTCATTACAAAAGTAGTAAGCTATGTGGAGATCTGGTTCTTCAAATAGAATGAATGAACAACTTCTTGTATAATAACTGGAATTTAGATGTTCAAAAATGGTTTCTTGTTTTGATTCACATATGAGTTTTAATTTAACATTTGCATGTTTCATGCCATACAACTTGCAAGTTTCACAAACTAGCACATATATACTACAAGCAGTTCACAACTTGATTGGGCTGACTGTTGCAGTTTTTTTTTCTACAAGGATGTATGACACCTAAAGAACTTCCACTTTTTGAGATGACAAAAACAGGCGTAGAGACTTCATTACGCGAAGGCATAAAGTAGAATGCTCTATTCTTTTGAATCAGTGACAACATCTTTTAAACATGATCTCATAACCTCTCCAAGTTTGGAGCAAGCACCAAGACATAGCTCCATTGCCTCGTTAATCTTTGGTGTTGACCATCCTCCAGATACAATCAGTTGAGTGACCTCATTACGCGAAGGCATACAAGTTATCATTAAGCTTCCATCTTGGTAGCTTTCTTCCTCGGAAATGGGATCAATGACAAAGTTCTTTCCAATACAAGATACAGAAACTGAGGCAACCAAGTCGTACAGCAAAATCCCTGCATCTGCTAAAGCTAGACTAGCACATGATATGACCACGGGGAGATCACTTCCACCAGATTCCAATACCAAAGCAAAAACATCCACACAAGTCTTTGGGAAGGATTCCAGAATTATAACACCCTCTAAAGCTTTGTGTAACATTGAGGAAAGTTCCTTGTTGTCTGATCCCTGCCCACGATTAGGGGTGGCAAAACTTGTGTAACTAACATTACAATTTAAGCGTCCTGTATCACTGTACATCATTGCCTTTTTACTTTCCCTTGGTCCGAACACAGATACGATTACCTTGGTGTTCCCAAACTCTGCATATGCTGATCCTGCAGCTGTACTCACAGCACCAGTCTTCAGATAAGCAGGACGGCACTGATAGAAGCCACGATTATCAGGACGAACCCAATCAGCATCAGCAATGGGGATTCTCTTCTTCTTGCGTGTTGCTGGAGACGGTGAATATGTCGTCGGCGTCGACCCTGATTTTCCAGCCATCAGCTTCTGAAAAAAAAGTTCCCCTGTAGGTGAGTCCAAGAGATGTCTTGGTTTAATGATAATACAGAAAAAATAGTAGAACATCGAGGATTTTAGTCATTGTAACACATCATTAAATATAATTAAAACTCTCCACTAAAATTGAGCTATATCAAGTTGGAAGTATTATAATGGTATTACAGACTCCAAAGGCTCTTTTAAACCCAAAAGGCCAAAACCAACAAGACAGTTGACCTCGCCAAAATTTTTGGCTATTACAGTAAAGTGTAAGTTGACTTCGAATGGGTTCAAATCAGCCCTCTCAATAATTTTAGGCAAGGTGTAGTACAATTTGATAAAACATAAGCTTATTGAAAGCTTTTTCAAAAGTATGAACCTTCAAAATGAACTATAGTAAAATGTAACAACATAACTGAAGAAAGTAATATAGGTATCATTTGACTCTGTATAGGCTAAAGCAAACTCACTAACTAGACCACTTTGAATTTGTCTTCCAAATTTTGACAAAAATGATGGAGGGGAAGAGCTAGTTACTCTCTCCTAAAATCAGGTATATTTTAGCCCATATTTGTAAAAGAGTTCACATTGTGCAATACACAAAATCAACAACATACCTAGTGAAATCCCACAAGTGAGGTCTCGGAAGGGTAGAATGTATGCAAACCTTACCACTACCTCATGGAGGTAGAGAGGCAATACACATAATCAATTAGCACATATCTCAACATATCTCAATGCTAAGGGGAAATTAGATTGTTAAAATGATAAAATCTCTTGTACGTGTTACTATTAGACATGCAAAAAGATGTTTGTAAATAAGAAATCAATCAATCATTAACTCCTCAATCCCAAACAATATGTTCGCAATTTACGAAATGAAATTCTTCAAACACATATGTTTAGAAGTAAAATTTAAGCACTTTGACATTCCAAAACTGCAAACACAAAATATACAAAAAAGATGCAAAAAACATACTACTGACAGGATACAATATTCACCATATATGCCTACCTGTTGTTCACCATACCTCCAGTTACCCTATCGTATGGGAGTTCTACCTTATTTTTTGTTCCTTTATTGCAGTAATATCCGGACACATCTTGCTAGTATCTCGACTAATACACTGGATCCGTGCAACTAGCCAAGGTACCACATAATCCTACCTACCAAGGCTACGCTGATGAGAAGGATTCACCCCCTTTTTGGAAGAGGGATAAATTCATCAAATGTCACATTTATTGGACAATGCATACATATAGAAAATAGGAGGAGGGGGTGTAAGATAACCCAGAAAAGTTCAGCTGGAAAAGTTTCAGATTCAACGTCTCACATAAAAATGCAAATATCTAGAAACTTGGAAGGCAAGAATTACTAACAAATGAGTGATGACCATACATACATAAAGACCTATTCCTTACAGATAATCAAAGACTGTAAGGAATAGGTTAGTAGCAACATTTGTTATATTAAAGCTGAGGCAAGAATTACTAACAAATGAGTGATGACCATACATACAGAAAGAACTATTCCTTACAGATAAAAGAACTTTATCATATTAAATCACACAAGTAAACAACATTCTCCTTCTCAATTTACGCTGGTAGGTTATTAGCAGCCACCTTATGGAGCTATGAGACAAAAAACAACACTTGGAACAACACTTGGATAAAGAAGTCTAGTTACAGGTCTGATCTCAATGCAGAATAAAAAGTAAATACTCTGTGTTTTTTGAAAACCAAGAAATGTCAGAGGGCTAGTGATACTCGGTTTGAAACGCGATTGATAATGGGCTCACCCCATGCCCTTTCTCCACTTAAATACCAGGCTTTCTTCAGCAAGGTTCAGACACGTGCCTAACCCACATATCACAAGCTACAGTCTTACCACTAGGCAGACCAGGGGAGAATATGCTAAAAGAACTTTATCATATTAAAGCTGAGGAATGTAAGGATGATGTTGAATCTGCGCAATGAATCTACTCTATTGTGTGTATCAATTGCTACTGCACCCTGCACCCACTGCCTTCCAGGCTTCAAATCGATGCTGTTTGAGTGTGTTTGTATGGAAGGATGACATCCAATCGTCATACCATTATTCCCTTGGCAATGAATCTGCTACATGGGTAGCAAGTTTAAATACACACACTGCCTTGAACTCCATGTGTCTAAGCATACATTTAACAATGACTGAGCCAAGAAAAACCTATTAGGAGGATTAAAAAAAAATCCAAACTTCCATAATGAGTGAATACACATAACTATACCAATGAGATTCAACTATTAATATAAACCACAACAACAACATACCCAGTGTAATCCCATAAGATTCAACAAATAATACAACATACCCAGTATAATCTCACAAAATAGAACATGGGGTTACAAATGTAACCTGATCTGACTCAGGGAAAGATACAATAATTACTATATTCACATAAAAATTTAGTCTTTATGCTAATTATAACAAGTAACTTTCCAGCAAAAGGGATTCAATTGAACCCTCTTCAAAAACATACGCCCCGCCACTGCAAATATAATGACATTCATATTGAAACAAACATGGAAAATAAAAAAACAAGTGAAGAAATTTACCGATGAAATTATCTTCTGCTCTTTTTCGTATTTCAAAGAGAGGAAATGATGTTTAGTTATTAGGGTTTAGTTAGGGTTTTTCATCCAAGTGAAGAGGGAAGTTTTAGAGGGTATAACCCGACCCGACTCGACCCGAACGCTATGGTTCTTGGGACAAAAAAAGTGTACTTTTTTTCTTAATTTTTTTAACATTAAATTTGGAAAAATATAATTTAAGAGCTAAATGCATGTTCAGATTTTTTATTTTTTTTTACGAATATTTTTTTTTTAAAATTTAACTTGATTCTGAGATTCATATCTAAATGTTTGTTAAATAAATTATAAATGTTTATGGGAAGTCTATATCAATTGATATATTATTTCGCCAAGTTTAATATATATCTTCTTTATTTCATTTAATCTATTAAAAAATAAAATATTTTCTCTATTTCATTTACATTTTTTATTTAATAAACATTTAATGAGATTATATCAACATTTTGATCTTATTGAATCTCATTTAATTTATAAATTTTTTTTGTAAAAATTAACTTTTCTATTCACTAATTTATTTAATTAAAGAGTAATTTTGAAATATTACAAAATCTCATATTTTTTAAATTCTATATTTAATTAAATTTTATCACATAAATCACAATACACGCGAAATAATAATTATCATCTAATATGTAATTGTTTGGCTAAGTCTTTGTGAGACCTATTGTTTTTTTTCTCTAAAAAAAGTATTTATGTTGTTTGACAAAAGAAAAAACAATTTTATCATGAGATAAAAAAAAACATGCAGCCTTTTTCAAAGTATCGTCAAACACTAGTTGCTGCTCAAATATTTAATTGATCGTTGTTAAGGTACTTTTTAAAATAGTGTGATTTTAAAAGAGATTAAATAAATAATTTAATTTTACAAAATTAATTTAATAAAAAAAAGTGAAATAAAACCTAGGTCCTTTGTCCAAATAGCTAAACCCTGAACGTTTTCTCCTCTTGGACCTTTGCCATCACTTCTCCGTTAGATTTTCTTTTTTCAACAAAATTTGAAGCTTTTACTTGCGGTGGAGCATCAAAGTTTACATCTTTGGTCTTGATTTAAGGTACCATTTGTTCTATGTGTTTATTTTCATCTCAAAGAATTCCTTTTTTTGCTCAAAATAATCAAGTTTCTTGATTATATTTCACAATCTTAGTTAATTGTGTTGAATTATGTATTACTACTCCTTTTGTCCAAATTTAGGTGTGGCTATTGGGGCATAGATTCTTTAAGTTGTTTTAGAGTAAAAGTTACATTTTTTTTGTAGACTATATAATTGTTAATTCAAAAAATTTTAAAAAGAGTTTGATAGAGTTGTAGTTGGTTTCATTGATTTCTGATTCTGAAAACATAATGGTGAGTAGATTGACACAGATTTCATATCAGCACATTTATGTAGACATATCTTGAACTTTCAGGTTTCTTTGGCCTGTAATGTCATTGTTGAACAAATCAAACCTTAAATTTCAATTGCTTTTAATCCTCAAAATCGTGTTAATACCCGTCCGCAGCTAACTTGCTCCCCCTCTTTCCACAATTAATACCCGTCCGCAGCTAACTTGCTCCCCCTCTTTCCAACAACAATGTACCTTGTGGAATCCCACAAGTGGGGTTTGGAGAGGGTATGATGTATGCGAACGTTACCTTACCTTTTTGTGGTAGAGAAAGTATTTATCAATAGGTCCTTGACTCAAAAGGGAAGTATCCGACTTAGGATTATCAGAAAAGAGCTAGCAAAGTAGCAAAATAAAAAATAGATGCAACAGGAAATAGTAATACACATCGAAGAACAAGAAGCTATGTGATAATCAAATAATATTAAAAGGACAAGAGAAGAGGGAAGGCTATCTCACTCTCTCTCCCACACAGAATGTGACAATATCCAACTACCTACTAACCTTCTATCTTAATCCTCAAGACCTCAACTTTGATATGATAGATCCTTCTATATATGACACCCCGTTGATATTATATCTCCTGAATTTAACCGGATAATATATTCTCCCTCTGTTTCAAAAAGGATGGCCTAGTTTGACTTGGAACGGAGTTTAAGAAAAGAAAGAAGACTTTTTAATCATGTGGTTCTAAATTAAAGTTATGTCAAATGTACCAAAATGCTCTTTGATCTTGTGGTCTTAAACATGCCATGTGGAATGTTAAGTTAATGTTTTACCAAAAAAGAAAAGGGGTCATTCTTTCTGAAACAAACTAAAAAGGAAATAGGGTCATTCTTTTTTAAATGGAGGGAGTACTTATTTACTTCCCATGTGAAATTTGAAAATAGCTCGAGGTTGCGATTTGTGGGGTAAAAATAATTTGAAGGTATTTTGCCTATCTGAATTTTGATTTAGAAAACATATCCTGTCCTAATCTTGGGTAAAGGAAGAGAGTTGGCGTAGGTAGATATCTAGTAAAAATGGTTTAAATATGATGAATCCTCTGAATATGATTACAAAGACTTGGGTTAAGGAAGAGAGTTTGGGAATGGGGAGTAGGTGATTGATTTGTTCAAATGAAAAAATGTTAAAAAAAACCTGAGTCATGCAGTGACAAGAAGCAATATGCACCCATTGCCACCAAAATAGTGCGTCACTCGCCAAGGAACTCTGAGACATACATTTGCTTCTACTGCTATTATATCTGTGGTTACTTGTTTCCTAAAGTTACCTTTCTTTGGGGACTTCTTCATGTCTTTTTCATCCATTTTGACCTCTGTTGAATATTTTTAGATATGAAGCAAAGCTAGAAAACAGTACCTCTGACTAGTTGACTCAAAAGCGACAACCCCAAAACGCCTCTAAGGTCCATTGAAGCTTTAAGTGCAAAGCGCAAATAAAGCGTGACCTTTATTGAAGAAATGCGCGAATGAAGAAAACATACTAATATGTATGTGTAGTCCTGTCGATTTCATGAATTAGAAAAATCAGATATTGACTAAGAGATGTACTTAAGATCTGAAAGCATGAAAGCATGTTAGGCATAATGCATTAATTCTGGAAAATTAGGTGAGATGATCAGCTTTTGGGCCTGGTATGAGATCTTAGTCATTGTTTGAAAAGGAGTACTCCCTCCATCTCAATTTATGTGAAGGTGTTTGACTAGGCATAAAGTTTCAATTTATGTGAAGGTGTGTGACTAGGCATAAAGTCTCAATTTATTTGAAGGTGTTTAACTAGGCATGAAGTCTAATATTTATAAGCATTAATTGAAAGTATATAAACAAAGAAATCGATTTTTTTCCCGATAAAGTGACATATCAATTGCTTAGTGCCACCTCTTCGGGGTTACGCTAAATGGCAAGGAAAAGTATGCCTTGGAGCCTTCATGACGACACCACACGTTAAGCGAGGGGAAACACTCAACATGTTATGCACCTCTGACAACACTGGTTAAACAATTATAGTTGATTATGCTTTGGTCTTGTAGAACATTGGATCACATAATTAAGGTCCTTAGGATTTTGAATGTTCCTTATGGTAGTACAATATTGTTTGCTCTTTAGATAATAGTTCACTGAAAGCATTAATCAGGAGAAACATGTGTTAGGTGAAAGAAGTTTGCTTTCTTACCATTTGACAACTCTTATCTCACTTCTTATATGGTTCTTTTCTTCTTTTTCAATCCGTAGACTACATTCTATTCGAAATTTAAAAAATTTGCTAATTGTTTCTAATTATCATCATTTCTGGAAATAGTCAATGGAGCACGGTTCATTTGAAGATCAGTCAAAAGCAACATTCTCGCTGACAGATGAGGATCATACACTGGCAAATGCTGTTAGATTCACTCTAAATCAAGAGTTAGTAATTCATCTCTTCCTCTTTCCTTTCTTCTTCCATCATTATGCAGTAGTCACTGCAAGTGTACTAATATAAACTATTTTCTAGAATTTTTCTTGAATATATTACTCAACTCGTAATATAGATAGCCTCCTTATCTCGTTTTATTACATTCCACTGATCTTACGTTAATGTTGCTGCATGGTCTGTCTGCCACTCCCCATCCCCCCTCCCCGCTCTCTCTTTTCTTGAGAGTAGTTTAAGAAACGAACTTAGGACAATGATTAACTTATGTCTACTTTCTTGCAGTCCCAGAGTAACATTTTGTGGTTACAGCATTCCACATCCCTCTGATGCTCGAGTGAATATAAGAGTTCAGACTACTGGTAAGGCTTAAATATCTAGATATTTCTAGAACTTGTCAAAGAAAAAAAAGCTTATATTTTCTGATTTATCTATCACGGGAATATGCATCCTGCTTCCACATTAACATAACATGCTTGATACTGGCTAAAACTTTCATCATGAACTTTTTATATAGCTGTTGGACTTTCTGGCCAGTTGGTTTTGGTGGAGAAAATATTGTGAGAAAATTCACCTTTTTCTTTCAGTTTATTTGATCTGGTTCATGCAGTAGATTGTGTTATTAGATATTTCTACAACATGCCTATGTACATTATAATATGATAATTTTTTTTCTTGATAACCGTGGTGCCCGGGCTAGCTTACGCGCACCTCGACTAATTCCAAGGAATACCTGTTAGTTGTCACCTCCCACCACCAACAAGTAATGATACCACTGTCCACCTAGGTTAGGACAAATGGGAAAAAATCACCTAGTATTTTTTGTTTCTGCTGGGATTTGAACCCTCGTGGTTCTCAACATACTTCATTGACCACTAAGCCACACCCTTGGGTATTGTACATTGTATGATAGGACCACTTGTAAATCGTTTAGAACAATTTGCAATGGTCTTTTTATACTTCAATATGTTTTTACCCTTCTATTCTGAGAAATGTTGTGGATCTCTGTTTGAGTTTTGGTACATCAAGATTTTCTGCAACTTATAGTGGTCTTCTATTGCAGGGGATCCAGCAAGGGAGGTATTCAATGATTCATGTCAGGATCTTATGCTTATCTGCGAACATGTTAGAGGCACATTTGATCAGGCTGTTTTAAAGTTTAAAACCGGAAAAGGTCTGAGTGCTATGGATATCAAGAAATGATTTGACTAATAGTTTAAATAGCCTTCTATCCATGTGAATTTTTTCCTGTTTTGCAAACACGAGGAAACCATCAAAAGCAATTGTTTATTTGGTGCACTAAATTGCTTTTTTTTTTGCAAAATCATGCTAAAGAATGCACCTTTGGCTGTATGGAAATATTAATCTGCTCATTGGTTGTTTTATGTAGTAATTTTATGTTCTAGTTTATGTGATTGTGAATCATAGATCTCTTATCTGCTTGCACTCATGCGTGTATTATCTTAGTTCGTGCATTATGAACTCCATCCATAGAAACCTTAGTATGTAAATGAGGCTAAGAAGTTCTCAAAGTTGGTTAGCCTTTGTATATATCCCTGTTTTTATTTTGGTTTTCTTTAGTTGTTACTGCAGAGTGACCTTATCTTCTGTTATTTTAATCGCGTAAGGCATCTTTCCATTTGATCCAAGAACTAAGAGCGCCCTCAGAGAATGTGTTTGAAGGCTAATGGTCATATTAGTCGTTTTCTGGGAAATATTTTTTGTAGAAGATTAGAGCTTCATGTATAACTCAATTTTCTATCATGTTCCATTTGTCTAGTTTTTCTCCATTTCTGCAAGTCGTAAGCTCGGATGAAGGTGGAGAGTTGTGGTAGGTTGATCTCCAATGTAAACATTTGAGATGTTTTTTATTTTTTAAAATTAAATTAATTGTTCGTTTTTCAAGACTATATTTAGAGTGTTCTTTCAAAAAAAAATTCATTAGTTGGTAATAAAATTAGCAACTAATCAATACTTAATTATTTTATTTGATAATAATTAATAAAGATAAAAATAAAAAGTTATATCTAATTTATGTCTTAATCTTCTTTTCTTAAACGGTGTGAAAAATCTCAACAATTCAATCAATTTTGAGATGGAGGGAGTACTTAAATTTCTACCTAATTGCTTTTATTAACTAACGTTTGTCTCTTCATTTTGTTTAACGTTTAGGTTATTTAATGTTTATAACTGTTCAAATATTTTCAATTCATTAATAATAATAAAAAATTATTACTCAATATTTTTTAGAGAAAAAACATAAAGTTACCACTTAATATAGTACAATATGTATAAATTGTTGTTTAACAGTAATTCAATGATAATCTCTTCGACTTCTTAACAGAGTCTATTGGTTATACGAATTAAGAGTATTTATTTGAATTAATATTTTCTCCATTTCAAATTAATCGAATTGTTAAGAGTTTTTTTTTATTTTTTAAATTAATTTAATTGTTCAATTTTAAAGACTGATAGTAGTGTTGGAAATGAAAATAATGAAAATCAATTTAATTGTTTCAAATTATCTACATAAAAATACCTCTAAATGATATTAAGACTTTGTTAAAGATGTTAACGGTTAAGATTATTTAGATCAAATAAGTGCTTAAATCTTAATGTAAACAAATACACTTAATGTGCTAAGGTCTGATGTAAATCATCCCGCGGCTACGGAAAACTACAAAACCATATTAAAGAAATTATAAGAGTTTTCAAAATGTTCATCTTTGTAAGTTCATTTATCGGAAAAGGGTCAAAAATATCCTTAAACTATCTGAAATAACTCATATATACCCTTAAACTATATTTCGGCTCAAAACTATCATTCCCGTCAAACTAATGGGTCAAAAGTGCCCTTCTAATTAATGAAAATTGTTAAAATGCCATGTGGATGTCACATGACACGCCAATAGGGTTCCACATGGCATTTAACAATTTTCATTAATTAGAAGGTCACTTTTGACCCAATAGTTTGACGGGAAGTGTAGTTTCGAGTCGAAATATAGTTTCAGGATAAATATGACCTTTTTTCGGATAGTTTAAGGGTACTTTATTTATTTAAAAGTTGGATAGTTAAAATGCATGTTTGTGCATAATGAAATTTGAAGGTTAAAGTTAAAATTTGAAGTCAAGTTTAGAATCCAATATATGTATTACGCCTAAAATAAAATAAACAAAATTTTCAGTTGAAAACTGTAATAAAACTTGATTAACATGATTTTGGAGAACAAAGAATTGAAGAAACACTTACAAAGTTTGGTAGAAATATTTGTAGCCATTGGCAACACAACAATCATTTACTTCTCATTTTCGACTTCCATACATCATATATAAAAACTACATACCTCAAGAAACTATTTGCTCCGTTACAACCTTGATTAAACAAACTTAAGTAATCAAATAACACATCGAATAGACGGTCTGATTCCACCTAGTGCCGACTATTAACAAGCTGTAGCCTAAATTTTTTCAGTTTTGAAAGAACATCTTTCATACCAATTCTTGCATCAGGTGTCACTAAAGTACAGCTCAAGGCTAATTCCATGATAGATAACAAACATTGCATCTTTGCAGCGATTTGTTCATCTCCTGGCTGTACCAAATTAGAATCCACCACCTTATGAATTTCATCCGGAAAGGAATCACTAACCCAACGCTGTATGCTCCAATCACCGGTAAAGGTGTCATCACTTGGTCTTGTTCGTGTGAACGTCTCCATTATCAAGATGCCAAAGCTATAAACATCACATCTCGAGGATACTATTCCTTCTTGTCCATACTCTATAATCAGAATATATTGTAAAAAAGATGATGATAAATCAATTTATACCTAGGGGAAGGAATTGTTTTGAGTATTTTAAAAAGTATTAATATACCTGGAGCAATATATCCAATGGTTGCAATTGTCCTTGTTTTAACAAAAGCCTCCCCTGCACCTAACATTTTTGCAATGCCAAAATCACTTACATGAGCAACCATTTCTTCATCTAGCAACACGTTGCTTGGCTTCAAGTCACGATGCACCACAGGTGTTGAACAGCCATTGTGGAGATAGTCCATTGCAGATGCAACATCTATCATTATATCCAGTCTCTGCATTAAGTTCAAGAACAAGTTGTGAGAGTATAACCATTTATCAAGTGTCCCGTTGGGCATGTATTCCAACACTAGGGCCTTGAAATCAAGATTGGAGCAACTGGTGATGACTTTGGTCAGATTTCTGTGGCGAAGGTTGCGGAGTATCTCACATTCCGTGTCAAAACTTTTGAATGCACCCTCCAATTGCACATTGAATACCTTTGCTGCAAAAATGATACCATCCTTAAGAATCCCTTTGTAAACCATGCTGAAACTCCCATTACCAAGCAAGTTGGTTTCGTTGAATCCTTCAGTTGCCTGTTCAAGTTCATCATAGGAAATTCTTTCATGCCCTTTTACGAGAGACACATCTTCTTGGCTTGCACACTTCTTTGTCTTTCTCAGTCTTAACACCACAAATCCAATAGCCAATGTGAAGAGTGATCCAATCCCTAATAGAATATATAAACCTATAAGCACTCCTTTTCTTCTTGACTTCTTTGAAGATTTGGTTAGGCATGGTTTTACGTTAAATCGGGAGTCACCACAAAGTGCATCATTGAATAGGAAGGACTGGCTAGTGATGTTTGCAAAAGGACCTCCAATGGGAATTTCTCCACTGAGTTTATTGAATGAGAAATTCATGTATTTGAGATACACAAGAGCTTCTAATGACTTTGGAATTTCACCACTAAGATTGTTATCACACAAATCCAAGAATTCTAATGCTAACATTTTGCCAAATGAATCTGGAATAGACCCCTCTAATCTATTATGTGCCAAAGAAAGATTAATCAAGTTATCTAGACCCCCTAGCGTGCTAGGAATTTTACCAGAAAAATCATTTTTTGACAGATCAATGAGTGTTGCAGCCTTCAAGTTTCCAATCTCGAAGGGAATTTCCCCACTCAATAAATTTGATGAAATCTTTAATTCTATGAGATCATGAAGCCCCCCCAAGCTTGCAGGTAATCTTGAATTAAGCCTATTATAAGCTAGATAAAGTGTCCTCAAACTAGTAACACTCCCTAAGCATGGTGGCACTGAGCCAGAAAACTGATTTCTTGACAAGTCTAATGCACCAAGATTGTTTAAACCGCAGATAACCTCTGGTATGCGTCCTTCTATCTTGTTTCTTTGTAGGTAAAGTTCTTGAAGGCTCAACATTCCTTGGACAGTATTTGGAATATGTCCGGTCAACTCATTGTTATACAGATCAATCCTTGTCACTCCAGTAAGATTACCAATTTCTCGAGGTATGACACCCTTCAATTTTCAATCACTTGCTCTAAAAGTATGCAGTGAGTTTGAGAAATTACCAACTGATGCAGGCAAAACACCATCCAATGGATTTCCATCAAACCAGAGTACTCTTAGATTCCTACAGTTTGTCAACGACGTGAGGAAGCTCAATGTTGAATCACTGACAAAATTATCTCCCGAAAAGCTCAGAACCTCAAGGTGCTCTAAGTTACCAAGTGATCCCGGAATTGGACCTGTGAAACTATTGCCTGAGAGATCAAGCATTCTGAGTCTTGAAGAATTTGAGATTGAATCAGAGATAAAACCACTAAGATTATTTACTCCAAAAAGGAGTTGTTCTAGGCTCGGCATTCCACAGCCTAAATCTAAAGGTAGAGTACCTGAAAACTTATTTTCTGTAAGTCCTAGAAGCTGCAGCGCTGACATGTTAAAAATAGTTGGAGGGACTGAGCCACTAAACTGATTCTCTGATAATTCCAACACTCGTAGTTTCTCATGGGAAATGTGTGAGTTGCCAGTTTTGCGGAAGAGAGAAAAGGATGAACATTTTCATTTTTCTTATAAAATATAACACTACCTTCTAAATGCAGAGCTCTAATATACAATTGCGTAAGAGCTGTTAGGTTAGCTAACTCTCTTGGAACGATTCCAATAAACTCATTGTAAGACAATGACAAGTTTTGAAGCTTTCTGCAATTTTCTAAGTTCGGTGGTATAACACCACCTATGTAGTTTTTTGAGAGGTAAAGCCCTTCCAAATTTGGAAGATGGTTGCATATAGTTGTTGGAAGCTGACCAGTGAGATTGTTATAGGTAAGACCAAGGATTTTCATCGTTGTAATGTTGAAGATTGATGTTGGTATAGAGCCACTAAGTTGATTATATTGCAGATCTAAAAAGGTCAGATAGCGAAGATCACCAAATTCTCGAGGAATCTCTCCTTCTAGAAAGTTACTTTGCATACTCAACACTTCCAGCTTTGTTATATTAGAAACGGAAGAAGGAATTTCTCCCGAAAATTGATTCATTGAAAGATACACAAAGCGTAGGTTTGGTAACAAACTTAAAGATGATAGAATGGCTCCAGTGAAGTTATTTCTTGTGACACTAATCGATTTTAACCTTTTTAAATGGGTCAACTCTTTTGGAAAATCTCCATGGAATGTGTTGTTATGAATGTTGAGGGAAACAAGAAATGAGAGGTTTCCGAGGTGTGGAGGTATGGTACCATGAAGTTGCATGCTAGAAATGTCTAAAGCAGTGACTCGGTGGTGGCGGGAGCTGCAAGTGATTCCAATCCAGCTGCAAACTGGGCTGGAAGAAGACCAGTTTCTTGCTAGGATGTTGTTAGGATCAGAAGAAATGTGCGATTTCAGTGCAAGAAGAGCGGCTTCATCGGTGGAAATATTAGCAAGTGAAGAAGTATGATGATGAAGCATAATGAAAACTGCAAGAGCAAACAGAAGATTGCAAATTCTTTCCATAACTATGACAAGAGTACTTGATAGTAATGATCTTAGAAGATATATTTAAAGATTAATGTATACCTATATACTGTTTTTAGATTGGAATGTCTTTTAGTCAATGGGGTCAATTTAATTAGTTGGATAAAACAACTAGTTAAAACTTTTTAAAAAGTTTGGTTGTTAAATTGTTTTAACATAATTTTCTATCCTTCACCTTTGAACTTTATCTTATCAAGACTTGTCTTGGCTTGACTAACTATTAACATGATCTTTTTCCCCACTTAACTAACAAATAAAGTTGTTTAACCTGTATTCATCTTCAACTAGAGATTCTGATTTCTGTGTTCGAATCCTAAAATAGGTTCGCTCACTCACAGATGCGCTCAAAGTTGTTGTATCACCAGTAACAGATGATGAACTTATTGTTAGGATTTTAAGAGAAATGGGATTCTTCTTTGAGTTTTGAAGAGTTGTTTCACAAGTTCACAGATCATGAGCTTTTTCTCAAGCACAAATCATGGAATCATCGACAAAAGTGATAAATAACGTATCGAAACAACAGGACATGGTCCACAAATATCTGAATGAACTAACTCAAAATGTCGATTCAACTATAATAAACTTTATCGATCATTTCATAACTCTGAGGTCTTGCATTTGTGTACCCTCTTCTTCCCTCAATTGATTCATAACTCTCCAAAGAGCAACGCTTCCCTGAGTAGGCACACATTCCTAGTGGCCTTAGATCATGTTCAAAATTGATACGTTACTCTCTATTCAAAAAGTGTCTGTATATTATATGCACATAAAATACTAGTATTTCTTAAAGATGATGTGTTTTATGTACCCCTTTTTCATTTTAAGGGGGTAAGGTAAATTTATTTTTTTTGTTTTATTCAGATTATTCATATCTTTGGAATTTGACAAAATGTATTCAAATTTTCTCCCCAATATTGGAGGCCATTTCTCTTTCCTAACTTACTCCCATTGTTCTAAAATATTTGTCACAATTTTTTTTTGGAGAACTAAACGATATAAATTTTGATCAATATTTTAAGATTGTAATTGATATGAGAAAAAAATATAGTTTGTAGTATCGTACGTGTAATATTTCACGTAGGGTACATGTGTTTTACTTATTCAATTTTATACAAATTTAAACGTTTTTTTGTGTGTGTACACCAAAATTTGAAGGGCATAAATGACAGCTAAAGCAAAGTTAAGAACACATTTATGTATTATGCCGTTTTCAAGCTGTTGTCCAATAATTTAGAATGGCTCGATAAGAAGCTGTTGGTCATTCCATAGTCTCTAGTCTTTTTAAAAGATAAATAAATTAAGGATAGATAACGAGGAGATGATTACATGGTGGAGAATCGAACCCTCACTAACAAACTGAAAGTTCAGGTAGCCAAAAACTAGGCATCGCGGGAACAAAAACAATGTAAAAACTAGGCATTAAGTCACAGTACTGCGTGCATGCTAAAGGCACACAATAGTCTGCATCTCACGATAAATCACAACAATGTTATTTACAATGGCACACTACATGGAAATAACACGCGAAATATAATTTCATTACACGATATAATCACACACATACCGTCAGGTTGAAACTTCACACTTTAAGCATAATACAGTACGATATAATCACACGCATACCGTATGAAACTTCACACTTTAAGCATAACCTTAGGATAAGGTTCCCTAATGTTGAAAACATCATTTAGAACTGTTGTTGAGATTAAAGATGCTTTCAGTAAATTCAGGGCCTGCAAAAGTTAATATATAGTTAATAAAGATTAGATATATATATAGAGAGAGATCTTAATAAATCATGCATGTTTAGTTCCGTTGTTTGAATCTTTTGGCATAATCCTTAGTTACAACACACAAATTCTAGTCAATTCAATTTATCATTTGCTTGCAACCTTTTACGATGTGCAAAAGCCTCGTTACTCTGTACTAACTGATCGAACTCTTTGCAAAAGCCTTTTTCCTAAATGATGAAGAGATAAAGAATAGTTTTTTAAACATCTATCTCACGTCTAGTATTGCATGGTTCCACTCTGCATGAACTCTGAAACTTGAAACACAAAGGATAAAAATGAATTGGATATCTCGCGGTGCTTACACCTATTGCCTATTGATGTTTCTGTTCAAAATCCCAATTAATGTGCAAGTAAATCAAGTAGAAGGTGTACATACCTCGTCCTTCCCAACAGTTACAGTGCGTTCCCCGACATCACTGGTTGACACCTCCATTTGATTAAGCTGAGTTATGATTGTGGTAGGGGAAAAAGGAGTCACTATAAGATTATCCATTATCATAAACGTTGCGGGTCCTTTCAAGTATCCTTCACCCTTTATAGTTTCTCCTGTTGGAGACTTTGGATCCAAAATATTGATGGCTAAATCACTTGCTTCTTCCTCATAAACTATGGATGATCCCTCGGATTTATTAGTGTTCCTTACTAATTCTATATGTCCCCAGTCATCATCATATCTGTATTTCGGGTACTCCTCTTCCACATTGAGAATATGACTGTCAAACCCAGAGTGTGGAAACAGTTTCGGAGAGAGTAACATATTTTTGCATTCTTCTGATTTGATATAATTTTCCAAACTCAACTCAGCAGCACCCTTATACAAATTATCTATACATCCAAGTCTTGAGTTACCGCCTAGATGCTTTACTACAGCCCCTAATGGGAATACAAGGAAACTGAAAAGGAAGTCTACAAGCTTGACCCCCGCTTCTGCATACAAAACCTTCTTCTTACTTTTGCTGACTATAAGCTTCAGGTTCATACTATTTGTGTTTTGAGACATGGTCTTCTTGTCTAACTTTGCAGTTTGGTTATCTTCAAACTTTGATATATCTTTCAACCAACTTCCCTCGCTATTCAGTACCATATTTGTCAAAGCCGTCTTCGAGAGCAATGAGAACTTCAGCAGTTGCAACACCTAAATATGGTCATATGCATCAGTGATGAGGCACGGAAATTGTGGAAACTAGCATATATACCACACGAAGTAAACGTGAATTTTTGAAACAAAAAGAAGAGGCAAATAAGAACCCAAGTATTAATATGGTAATGGATGATGGTGCAAATAGAATCAGTTAATAGAAGAAGATAAAGAAACCATGTAGCAGATAACCAAGCAATTAGCAAATTACGTCAAATAAAAAACGTCTTAAACTTTCAATCTTGCCACTGTTCTTCTAATCATTTCCTTTAATGAGAAACTCTTAGCGAAAACCTTAATTCTGAATGAGTTTTCAACAAAAACCTAGAGTAGCAGATGGTAAGGTTTTATGTTTCAATAAGGCATAATACATAGACACGTTAACTTGGCCTCAACTGATAACCAAACACTCCAACTTTGAGGATGCACATCTAGACACCTCAACTCATCTCTATAACGTTGGTTGAATAGTACTCCCAACTTACAAAGTAATCATTGAGATACCATGTATGATGTCTTGTGCACTCCCGAAGTTGGAGGTTTTACTTGCCAGTTGAGGCCAAGTTTGAGTACCTATCTATGTAGTATGCCTTTCAATCAATGTGATCAGAATTGTTCTTGTGAAAACCAAAAGAAGCAAGAGTGGACAATATGTTGAAGGAAAGAGCTAAGCACAAACTAAGTTAATCCAATTTTTACCTCCTTTACCTTGCAATTAGTTCTTCCTTGTCATTAACCACACACTCGAATTGAACCTCAATTTCTTATATACACAAAGTTTGTTCGTGATGAAGTATTTTTCGTAAAATATCCCACAAAGTTCAGCCTACACATTTAGCCATAAAATGTAGAGCGTTAAGTAGCTGTGAAGAATAAAGTAAGACGTTCAGCTATCACCCCTCCTCCGGTGTAACTACTCTAGGGTGGATTTTACTGATTGTCTAATCTTCCATGCACCATTCTAATACTCAATTTAATTTTCTCTCGAACCCGACTAATAGTACAACATGAATTTTCAAACTAAATGAAGAAGATAGACCAGATAATAACTTGAAGGAAAAACAATAATTGAAGATTTGGTCTTATGAAACTATTTTTTAACAAGTTGGAGACTCCGAAAAATAAGAATGGTATGCATTGCACAACATATAGGTAAAAGCATTACCTCCTGAGTACCAACTTCTACAGTCTTTGCCTCAATTTCACTCTTGTCACTGACTCCGAGCTTTCCGAACAAAGCAGTTAAACTAGCAGTTGAGGCTGGCATTACCTGTAAATCATCTGTAATCATAAAGCTTGCTGCCCCACCCTTGAAAAAGACTTCAACCAGGTTTCTCCCCCACAACTTCTCTTCTCTTCCTTCTCTTTAATTTTTCTATCACATTGTCTCAATCTAGCACAGCAGAAGCAGCGTGTATTCTGCGAGATACTGAAAATGCTTTTACACCTAGGGTTATAGCTATTACAGTTAAATAACTTCCCTGCATTCTCCGAATAATCAACATTGAGCTTCAGCTTTTCACACTGAACTTCTGATGCACTCCGTGGCATGATCAACATGGATTTGCAGTAGCTTGTACGCAAGAACCTCGGCTCAAGCGAATAAACACTGGCATAAACACGGCTAATTGATCCAAATTGAACCATATCTTTTTCAAGAAGTCTTAGAATTGTACCTAACGGGAGTGTCAAGAATGAGAAGAGTGTGTCGATGAATTCATGGTCCGACTCTGCAAAGATAACTCGATTTCTGTTCTTGTCAATCATAATCTTAAGTTTGATAACCTGAAATTCAAGACTCCAAATGTTCATAACTTTAAGAATGCTTACAGTAATTGATATTTGAAACTTTCTCCACCCCATTCTGTTTAGCATTATTTGACTAGACACAAATTGTGACATATAATAAGTTATATATACATAAATTTTCAATCGTAGATACTAGCTCATGAGTTGGGGATTGTCCAAAAACAATTCTGGATATCAAGAGCATGCACAAGATAACATGAAAACCTTATGTTACGCGGAGGCGGATCCTGTATTTAAAATTTAACGTTCTTAGCATTGGACTCACTGTATTTTTAAAACTAGTTCTCGAACACGTGCAACGCACATGTATTTTATACCTTTTTAAACTACAAGAAAACACAGTCAACTATGAACCTGTGTGCTCCAAGCATAGTCCATGTCCACATTTCAAAGTTCAAATATGCAAAGGCATTCACAAATCAACTTGTATCTGAATTTGAATTTTATTGCAACAGAAGCTTTTCATAAATAGATATTATACTAAAAAAAGTGAATATGCTGCTAGCTTAGCAATAATACAAAAAATGTTGGTCAATATTTGCAGCTAAATCAATTATATTAGAATAGATTTATCTGAAGTAAGACTCTTTTTGGAGGAGAAATCTAACCAAAGAAGGCAAATGAAATAATTGGACAAACTCACCTTATGATACACTTTATAGAGTATTTAAGAATGTTAAAAGATTGATCAGCATAAATATTATTGAGAAGATCAAACTATGTACAACCAATAAAACAAAGAAATTTTATATATTAAAATATGAATGAAAATATAAAAAGAAGTTGGAAGATGAAAGAAAAAAAATTTAATAAGTGAAATAAATTTTAGAGTTCCTACACACAAGAATTGTAAAAATAGTAAATTAAAGCTTTTCTTAGAAAAGATAAATTTATACAACAAAATTATGGAAACATGAAAAGACACATGGAAAATTGAAAGGTCAAATACTATTAAAATAAATATAAAAAAAATAGAGATGAAATTTAACTTTAAAAGATACATGCATCTACTTTAATTTTTTGTTTTTAAGGTATATATATATATATGAAAATTATAAAAGTTTTAATTTAGTAGAGGGGCAAAATGGTAATTCAACTTTTTACTTTGGAGCTTCCCACTTATAATAATTTACTAGTTTTAGGGAACGTGTGTTGCACGTTTGTCGCTTATTATTTAATTTCTATATACTAAAAAGTTGAGTTATAAAATACGAAATGCTGAAATTAACAATAGTAGTTTTACCATTTATATTTAATTCACTAAATAATAAAAGTATACTATGCAGAAGAACATTAAATAGATGATATGCTCTAGCATTTTGTTATCCTTCATTTGCAGTTTCTTGATCTCTTTTCTTCTCTGGTTGATTTGTGCAATTTTCTTCCTATTTTAACATCAATCTTTGTAAATTGGTTCTTAAAAAGCATATTGAATTTTTAACTTTGAATGTGTTTTTACATAATATTCAACTTTCAATTTTAAAAAATTATGGGTATGAGTAATAACTAACATCCAATAGTTACGCAAAAGAATATCACATTCTCTTAAATAAAATAATATCTCTAAGGCGCAAGTAGACATTCCAATTTAGACAATTATTACTTAACTATTTACGGGTCCAGCAAATAATCTGGAGATTGAAGTTTAATAATTTTTCATCCATAAATAAAATTTTATATCAACAATAAATAGCTTCTCATCATAGTAAATAGACGTTTGTTACACACAATTTATAAGTTCAAAAAGACCTCATCAATTTGGTACTTGTGCAAATGATATAAACACTTGATATATTACGAAACACACTTACAACCATCACCATGATTATTATGTCAATTATTTTTATTATTATATCGCATATACATCTTTTTAACCTAAGAGAAGTACTGTACAATATGATTTATGAGGAGTAAGAACAATACTTTTTTTTCCATAAAATTTTTCTTTGAATAATTAATATAGATTGAGCAACACAAACTTTTCAAAATGACTTATTCTAGATATATGACCAATTTGAGGAATGAATATTTTCACAAATAAATACTATTCTAATAAGGTCAAAATATTATACAATATATACAAAAAGTTAAATGAAAATTCAGGCTCACGGTCACATACTATGATCCATTCTTTATTGCCAATTCGGTGGCCATTTTATTTTAGGGTGTAAATTTTTTATTTTTCTTTTAAAAAAATCATATGTGATTTTTCTCATTTTGCTATTTCTCTCTTTACTAATAAATAATAATCTCAAAAATATATTCATACAAAAATAAAACTTCCAGAGTCGCATATCAAATTAACTGATTAATCTTTCATTATGAATTTCATCAGTAATTAAGAAATATAGTAGAACATGAATTGTATATCACTAATTTATTCATGTAGGACACAAGAAATTCCAATAGAAAAATAAAATCATAAGAAAGTATATCAAAATATTAAAAGGACATAAAAATACTTAGGTTGGACATGGAGGAGTGGTAATAACAAAAGGAAATTATGCACATACAAAATGATGTGCAAAGTTAATTTTTTGCTTGATAATCTCTCATCCTCCTCTTATCATTTTTACGAAGATCATGCTAGACATTTTATAGCAGTTGCTAGATGAACTTTAAGTAGATAAAATGAATTTGTATTAAATTAGTTCAATGATTTTAGTCCATGTCAACTTTATTTAATGGAAAAACTCTTCAAATACTCTTTGTTTTTACAACAAAAGAGAAATTAATTATGAATATGAATTTGATTCATGCACAGATCTAAATGACTTATTTATTAAATATTTAATTATATTTTACAACATTTGTTTTAATTATTTTAATACATGGTAAAATGGTCATTCAATTTTGAGCTTTGAATCTTCCTACTTATAATATAATATGATGATTTATGATTATGGGTTCAAACCTATTATTTTTTACACATAAATTTATACTCCACATATTTGAACCTAGTGCTATCATGCTGCATCCGCCAATCTTTGACCAAATTCAACCCAAAAGTTAGCTCATGAGGTGAAAATTGTTCGAAATCATATAAGCAGTCAACCAGAGTAATGAACGGTGCCAATTGAGCATCCTTCATCGAAATTTATTAAATCTTGAACACCCTAACGAAATTTCTGACTTCGTCACTATGGGTCAACAACAGAACACCCCTTCCCCCCACAAGTTCCCTTGGATACTTGGTCTAAATCAGTATAAAATCTAGGTTAGGATTGTTCAAAATTATACAGTGATAACAACTTAACAACATCAATCAATGAGTAAAACTTGATAGTAAACACAATATATGAATGTCAATTAAATAAATCTATCAATTTGTGTAGAAAATGGGAAAGAGGTAATACAAATTAGAATACCTTAGGGCGTTCATCAGATTTAGGGCGTCCAGCAGACATTTTAACTCAGAATTTGAGACTCAAGATTGGAAAATTGTGAGTGAACAGAGTGATTCCACTTTACTGATTTTATGTAATGAAAAAGGAAGACTTGCTACGTTTTTTCCATGTCAAGATTCCATCAACTAAAGTCTCTATATAAGATTATATATAATATTTTTTTCGTTTTAGTTCGTTTGTCTTATTTTTTTTTTTAATGTATCTTAAAAACAAAAGTGTATTTTAATGGTTCGTTGATTTTAACTTTTCCGTACGACATGTTTAATTAAGATTAGAAGATTGAAAAAATATTTTGATATATTATAGTATCTTTAATTTAATATTACAAGATTTAAAAAATTATCTATCTTTTTAAATCGATATAATATATAAATGTGCTTTTTAATTTGATCTATTTTATTTTTATATCTTTCAATTTTGGATATATACAGATAGACAATTAAACTTGTATAACATAGAACAAATAAACACACAAGTCTTATATAACACAATACATGTAAGGACACTATATAGGACAAAAAATAACACGTAAGATGTCATGCAGAAAATGTGTGTCTATTTGTTTAACTTTATACAAGTTTAAATATCTACTTATACATATCCAAAATTGAAGAACTTAAATATGATTTGTAGCCAAATTAAAGGACATATTTATATTTATGTCTTTTAAATTTTGAGCTAAAGTGAAACAGCGCGATCAAATTAAAAAGGAGAGTAATTTTTGTTTGTTTGTTTGTTGTGTAGGGCCTCTTTGAACTTGGCGCTAATGACATTATCATTTAACATTCTTTTTTAATTATCTATTTAGCTGTATTAAAAAAAAGCATAATACATATATATGCTATTTAATTTGACTTCGTATCATATTTATATTCTCAAACTTTGAATGTTCACAAAAAAATATTTAAATTTGTATAAAATTGAACAAGTAGACATATTAATCTTATGTGACACAAAACACATAGGAAGCAAATTATCAAGTAGGATGTCACATTTGACGTTTGTGTCTATTTATTCAATTTTATACAAGTTTAAGTGTCTACTTATGCACTCCAAAGTTGGATGACATAAATATAAAAGGATAAGTACCTTCAATATATGCCCGAAATTTCAGAAACAAACTTATATGTTACCAAAAAAAGAAAGATATCATTATTTTTGAATATACTAAAAAAGAAAGAAGATCATTCTTTTTGAAACAGAGAGAGTAACATTTTACCTACAATATTTTACCTTTTTGAACATTTTTACCATTTTAACTTTAATATATTTTAACTAAAAAAAAAGATTTATTTTAGAATTAAAATATTAACCAAATTTTCTGACCATTTAGCATTATGACGTAAAATATATAGTATAACAAGAGTTTGTAGAAAATTAATAAGTATTGACAAACTAAACCATAGAATATGTAACTTCCTCAAATTTTATTACCCATCCACTTGTTTGGACTTCGATTTTCCCACCATTTTCCAACAAATTTCAAATTTTCAAACACCACAAAACCCCAATCACCACCTTCCCTTATAAACAAACTCATTTTGCTTCATTTTTTTTTCTTTCATTTCTCATACAATTCCTAAAATTGATCATTCGCTCTCATTTCATTCT